ATAAATATTCAATGAGTTTTAAAATTTTTTTAATAAATATTCAATAGATTTTTAAAAATATATATATTAAAGAGTGGTGTATATCTAATATATATAACATTGCAACTCAACCTTAATAAGATTTGATTTTTTATTAATTTTCTTCACACTTTCTAATTATAAGTTTGACTTGACATTTCTTTAATATCTTTAAAATTTTATAACATTAGGGCTAAAATATATTTTCTATTTATATAAATAGACAAAGAAAAAAAAAAGAATAAGAGGAGGTATTGACACCTCACCATTTATTCCTTAACGGACTTTTGTTTCTTTTCATAAAGGTAAAATTACAGTGTTGGTCCTTAACTTTTAAATTTTTTTTACTTTAGTTCTTAGATTTCATTATTCTACAATTTGCTCCTACTCGTACCATTTTATTCATCCTTTAACTTTGTGAAGCATTGTGATTTAGTTTTCAATTTATAATTTTTAAAAGTTGTGTCCTATCCTACAAAAGTAATGGAAATAATGTAAAATCAAATAAAATCATATTAAATCTATTCAAATATTAATAAAATCAAAGATATATTAGCATCATATTATGTACAAGAATTCAACTTATTAAGTATTAGAAGGAAATTAGTAAATTTTGTATTGAAGTTTTGTTAAACTTTCGTTGAACAATTAATATTGAATTTTTCATATTAGAAAGAGAAAAAAAACTTGAAAAAAATTTATTAAAAAGAGAATTATGATAATGATAGTTGAAGACAACTCTGAAAAAGTACGAGTATTGCAATCCTTGAGGCATTTATAGAGTTAAGTGAAAAGAGAATTAGAATATAATGTTAAAGAAGTTGTGCAACTTATATTTTAACCAAAAACATTTCTAATATAGATAGTGGGAGATAGAAAAAAAATTAGGGTAAAAAGAGATATATGATAATAAATAGAGATATAAAAAGCGACTAAAAAAGAATAATATAAAAGGAAAGATTTTACTAAAAAAAAATTATAGAAGGAAAGATAAAGGAGGTAGAATAATAACATATAAATTACTAATATAATAGAGAAAGTGAACATGAGTAGTTGGTAAAAAGATATATATTGATAGAATATGAGGAGTAAGCTAAAAAATGAAACCCAAGAAAAGTAATGGAAAGAGGAGTAAGTAAAAGCCGTATGGAGATAATAATGCTAAGAAGCTATACTTTTTTAAGTTTTGACATAAACATTCCCAATATAGAGAAGCTAAGAGAAAAAAAATTGGGTGAAAAAAATATAGATAATGATACATTGAGATGTAAGGGAATGACTTAAAAATAATAATTGAAATGGAATGATAATGAAAGAAAAAATAAAATAAATAAAATACTAATAAAGATTAGGAGTTACTTATATAGAGGGAAAAAATAACAAACATATGATATAGTTAAAAGATAAAGTTACAAGAAAAAAGCTAATGAAAAGTTACCAAAGAACAATTGTAATTAATTATGCCTATTATATTTTAATTTTAAAAGTTTCTAATACAAACAGTAAGAAAGAGAAAATTGGGATAAAAACAAAGAGATATATAATAATAGATAACAATGCATGTAATGACTAAAGAAGAATAATAGAGAGAGGACAAAGAATAATAAAAATAAATAAATCACTAATCTATAGAGATAGAGAGAGTGAACATAAGGTAGAAAGATAAATGTAAGGGTTTTTTGGTTACCCATGTCCTAGAAGCTCTGGGGAAGCCAGCATTTCTTTTTAGCTAGCTTAGGCTTGGCAAATAAACTTTTTGTTACAAAAATCAAGGTAAGAAATAATTGGTTATAAAAGAAATATAAGTGATTATTTTGGATAATAATCGATTATAAATTAATGTAAGCAACTATATTGTTAGGAAAACATTTTTTGCTAAAAAACATCGAAAGATTTCCTTTGGGATCCATAATTGGCTACTTTTTGTTTTAATTGATTATATTACTTTGGAAGCATTTGTAATCTATTACAAATGATGTGATGCATTTTGTATGCTTTAATAGATTATCTTATCTTAATCTTGTTGCTATTTGCATGGACAAGATGTGATTTTCAATAGATTTTTTTTTTTTCATTTTGTGTAGAAAAGAACTTGAATGGATAATATAATAGTTTTTGGGATTAAATGAATATCTTTTGAAAGTTGAGGGATTGAATTGTGAGAAGGAAGGTTCTTTGGGATCTAAATGAATGAATCTAAAGTTATATGATCAAAGATCTCACCTTACAAATTTGGAGGACCAGATCTGCTATTTTTACCATTAAAGAAATTGCAAAACGATGGGAAACCTAAACCGGGTTTGGTGTCAACACTTAGCCTGTGGTGTCAGTACTATGCTTTAAGCCTTTTAAAGACAAGCTTCACATGAAATCAACAAAAGTGCTAACACTTACATTTTATTGTTGACACTAAACACCATTTTAACTCTAAGAATTTTTTCCTTTTTTTTTTTGTAATGGGCCCTACTTCTTTTGTAATAGAGTTTTTTACACTCTATAATTACCCATTCAAAACTAGACTTGAGAGCTTTTTGAGTGACTAAGAGAGAGACAGTTAAGGGGAACTCAACATCAAAAGAAGATTAAAACTTGAAATTTTATGTCGTCAAACTAGTTTTCCTTATCCTTCAATTTTGTTTTATGATGTCAAATACTATGATTTGCATTAAAATGCATTACAAGTTTTCATTCTCCAACAGACAACCATTACCTCCCATTATCTCTCATCCATATAACAGATGATTAATAATTTATTGAGACTTATTGTCACATTTATTTTTCAACATTTTCAACGAAAATTCTTTGTATTATTGTGTAGTAGAGTTCATTTTGAAAATTATAATTTCTTCATGTATAAATAAATTCACTTTATATGAAACACAAAGAGAAGCTATAAGCTTTCCTTTCTCCTTTTAGTGTAGTTCTTCAAATTCTCTATAGTTCTTTTATTTTTTATAGTTTTCTGCACGAATAGTTTCTGTATGAATTACTTTTCATGTATCTCATTTGATATGATGAATCAGTTGGGGCAAAGATTTAGATGGAGGCAAAGTTTTAAGAAAAAAAGGTTTTTAGACAAAAATTTGAATATTTTATAGTATTATGATAGTTCTCTTGTTTATATTTACCTTTACACAAAGATTTTAAATCATTGCCCTTGATAAATTAAGCTCCAACTATTTGTCACTAACTCTTGATGTGAAATTTTGTTTAGTTATAATGATTTTTGAAGATTCAATTGTAGAAGGAGAATAAATTTTCCCTTAAAGAAATAAAATGTTCTTGAAAAAGAAGAAAAAAAAATGCATCCTTAAGGGATTGGGATGAATTGATATTTTTTCATTATAAAATCTAAAAAGTGTTAAGAGATGAATATTTGATGATGAATAATTTATTGAAAATATGGAATTCTTCCAAAAACTAGTTATGAAGTGATTTATTTATTACTTGAGTTTGAATTCGCAAATATTTTGAATTATTTCATGTGAAAAAATGATAATTGATGAAAACATATTAGAGATATATTTTTCTTTTTATGCCTCAAATATTCTCTAGAAGTAGCAATTTTGGGAGGACAATTTAAACATACATATTTAACATTAACACATCTTTTTGTCAATAAAATTATAAATTTTTTATAAAAAAAATTATGGACCACAACCATTGGTTGGATTTCATTTGCTGAGGTGAATATGAAGTTATAAAGTAATTGTTGTTATGAATTTGATCATGGATTGAATTTTGCCAAATAAAATAAATTTTTACACAATAAGTTAGGAAAATATTTAAGAGTTATTAGATATGACATGAATGAGCATGAATCCAATATTATTTAGTATATTCAAACAGTTTATGTACCTATTATATATTTTTAAGTATTTGCTTGATTTAATACAAGTGTAATTCAATAAGAAGGGAAAAGTGCAAAACAAAATTTTATGGAAAACAATAATATGGATATACACTTATAATGTTTGTGGTACATCTGTGAAAATTGAGATTTGAGTTTTAACACAAGACTCGTATCCAGTTTAAAACTAATTGATAATAGATAGAGTAATCTTCTTTATATTTAATATACTTCTTTGTTTTATACTCGATAAGAGATTTTCCTACACTCATGAGATTTTCCTACACTCAACACAACCCTTACGTGCATGTTTGCTATAAATATCGAGTCATATCATGTGGTTTAATACGTCTCCTTACATGTAAGCTTAATATTAACTTTGGGTCCTATTAGGTGGATCGACAATGGTCTTTTTAAGAAAGGAGTTTGGGCTTTGATATTATGTGAAAATTTGGATTTGACTTTCAACTAAAGTTGTCAATACTAACTAAAGTTGTCAATATTATACCAGCATACATATTGGTTTTGTTACTGGAATGGTACATATAGGATACTAGAATTTTTCGCATATCGTTTCGAATTTATCGCTATAAATATATATTTTTATAAATTAAATATCAAATTTTAAAATAAAATAAGAAATACTAATGTTTAAAACTATTATATTCATATAAATTGAAAACAAACTTAAAATTATCATTTTTAGTTCCTCAACTTCTAGTATATGTATATTTTTTGTCCATCCACTTTAAGTTAATAGACTAAAAATATGTATATTTAGATAAACTTAACAAAGTAATTGATAAAAAGGACTAAAAAAAATACATTTTTCGTAGTTGATGGACTAAAAAAGTACATAAAAAAGTTAAATGAGAAAAATTATGTAAAACATTAAAGTGAATGACCAAAAATAAAATTTACCATTTTTAAATTTGAATTGAGTTGTATCGATAAATTTTCATGTACTGGCTAGTACGTTGAAATATTGGCCGATACACTGAAATTTAATCGAAAAGGATGAAATTTGGTCGAAACGAATTTAGACCATGTATCATTTTGGTTTAATATCAAAACCAATACTTAATGACTGTATTGGCCGGTACAATGACATGAAAGTTTCAACACAAAACCAGTGGCAAAAGGTACCCGTTTGCCCCTTAACTTTTCGATTTTGAGGGTTTTTACCCTCCATATTACAATACATGGATTTTGCCCTCCATATTTTCGAATTTGAGGAAATGAGGCAAAATTTAACGCTAGAGTGTCACGTGTAGCACGTGCACCGTTGGCCTCCGTCAAGTGTGCACATGTCAGCGCCACCTCAAATTTTTTTGACAACTTGGCATGCCAACTTGGAACCACATGAGTGCGAAATCTACCTGCTACCAATTTTATTTGTGGGCCCCACTGCTAACTAAAGGTTTGAAAAAAAAGGTTAAATCCTCGATTCAGTCCCTTAACTTTCATTTTTGAACTAAATTTACCCTTGAACTTCAAAATATTGTGACTTGGCACCAAAAATATAATTTAATAAAT